ACATTGTATATGACCAGGTTTATTACATATTTTCGAAAGTTTCGGGATTCTATAGTTCTTCTTTTTTTTTTTTTTTTTTTTTTTTTTTTTCGAGAAAGATTAAAGAATTAGTATTTCAATTTATACAGAAAAATAGAGAACATTTGTTTAAACAAAAACTCCATATTAGTTTCTAATTGCAGGTGTCGCATTGTCGATTTTTCTGAAATTAAATCTATTGAGATTAATCATTATATCCTTTCTTAATGCCATTATAGTATTTATTTTGGATTATAATAAAATTTGTATTATAATAAAATTTGGATTATTTTAAAAACATGATTATTATCAAATATTCTCTTCTCTCTCCCCCCTCTCTCTCTCTCTCTTTCTTTTTGCGATAGGAAAAGATTTGAAATTTTTGCTCGACTATACAGTGCAGATATAATGTTGCAGAGGGAGACAAAGATAAGGTTTGCGACGTTGTTGAAGGACGGAAAAAGGAAGGAGTAGTGGAATTGAGGCGACAATGTCTCTTTTGTAGTCCCCCTCCTTCCATGCATGCGTGCACGTGTTCGGGCGTGACGAAGACGATCAATCGATCGATAGATCGACCAATCGATCCGATCGACGAATCGGCCGCTCCCGAATGATCGTCGTTCGAAACGTGGAGCTGTTATACGACATTGTTTCCTTTTTTGTCTTTCCGAACACGATCGTGAACGTTGATGAGCAGCCTCGCATATATGTACACTTTCAATACAAAAATAAAATTCAAAACGCGTAAACGCGATCGTCTTTGGATAGAATGTTTCGATGGTGAAGAAAAGTATACGATCCTGAATCGTGATTCTTGATTTTGAATTTATTTCTCAATGATATGCCATTTCATATGTTCATAATTTTCTAAACGGGGAAATTTATTTTGAAAAATAAACAAATTCTTCTGTGAGTGAAAAAAGAAAAATCTTTATTTTATATTTATAGTAATAAAGCTCAGTCAAGGATCCAATTTTGAACATCAAAATCGCATTTTATATAAATCCAAATGTCGCTATCGTATATATAGAGTAATATCGATTGCTATAAGACAGAAATGGAGCTTTAATATAAATGTGGAAACGAAAAGTTGGAAATAAAATGGAAAGGGCTATCACGCCATTTGATATTATTGCTTTTTATCGTACGAAAGGTACCTTTTTCTCACTATCATTGTAAAAAAGCAATAGATGAAAGTATTGCAAGTAGAAAGATACGAGCGTTTAAACGACTTCACGCTAACCGCTTTCTCTGTCTTTTCGTGGATCTATAAAAGCAGCCTTGCTGCTATACTTCCCGCACGTGAAGAGGTATCCTTTATATACCAAGATCGTGTGCTGTTTAAGTAGCGAAGAAAAACGATTACGGCATAATATATGATCATTTCTACACGTACCACAGAATACGGCCAATTTTCTATAACCAAAAATCAAAGTTACGTATCTGTTTTCTTACATTGTTACCCACACTGACAAAGTTATAAATGACGTATTTTCTTGGAAGATTAACAATGTCTGTCTATTTTGTATCTCTACACTCAACCGAAATTTATTGTTTATTTTATCTAAAAATAAATAAGTAACGTTTATTTTGAAAGTGATGCAAAACAAAACTCATGGTCGTTTTGATTAGAAATCTAGGTAATATTTTTATTTAAAAATCATTTAAATCTTAAATTCGTTTTATTTTACAAATTGTATCGTGTAAGAGGATAGAAAAATATTTATGAGGAACAACTAATGCAATACGCTTTAAGTAACTTGAGAGTCACAATACCATATAGAAGTACACCATATACACATTTATGAACATTTTCTAGAGTTTCGATAAATAAAAAGAAAAAAAATGAAAGAAAGAAAGAAAAAAAAAAAGAACAAAGAAAGAAAGAAAGAAAGAAAGTTGAACAACGGCGATAGCGCAGGGCGACGCATGTCTGCGGTAGCGGGACTGTGACCTTGAACAGGAAGCTCTCCCGGTAGTACGCATGCGTGCGACTAGATTCGATCATCCCACGTTCGCGGACCCTTTCCATGATCTCTCAACCCCGTTGCCGAGCGCGCTATACGTTGGAAAGCCGCTTTTCACTTTCACGTCCCTTCCTTTAAGCCGACCCTTAAACGATCCACACGCCATTGAATTTCGTTGGTTAGAAAACTTCTTCTTCTTCTTCTTGTTCTTCTTCTTCTGCTTCTTCTTCTTCTGCTGCTTCCTCGACGACTTTGGCGTCGTCGTTGACGTCAACTACGACAATAACAAGGATGATGACGATGACGTCTCGTACGTGCACGCGAGACGAAAAGGGTGAAGCGAGTTCTCTTCGGGAAGAGAGTACTTTACGATAAGAGCGAGGAGAGTAAAAGGCTCGATCGTAAAAGAGCTCGCACCTGCGCCACTGCCGGTATATTAACGACTGCCGTTGAGCTAAGGGAAACGACGGAAAGGAATACCGTGGAAGCGATTTTCCGCGTAGAAAATACTCCTTGAGACACGCCAATGATGTCTCGTCTTTCTCCTCGTTTAAACGTTGCATTTAAAATCGGCCACTTAGAGTAAACGGCGATGCTGCATATACTACGTATGTACTTTTTTCAAGTATAGGCGAGTACACTTTTTAGTCCGTAAAAATAGTCTTCCTTCGAGGTTCCTCTCTTTTTCTTTGTTCGAATGTTCTTGGACGTCGACGGGAAGCATCGTTTCTATCAATATCGCCTTTCTAAAAACATTTTTCATCGATCAACAAGGGGATTTAGGTATTGATGATTGCACCAATTGAAATTGAATATTTTTTTTTCTTTTTATTTTTTTTTTAAATCGTATGAATCTGTTGAGCTTTTTATCTCCCTCTTTGTCTTTCTCTTTTTTTTTTCTTTTCCTTTCTTTTCTTTTCTTTTTTCTAGAAACATTTTGAATTTCCCGCGGCGACCGAATCGCCGTTGATATTATCGATGGATATCTCAATCTGTCGACCTTTGACACGAACGAAATCTTTTCGGCGATTGAACGAAGTCACAAAGATTACATTTATCAATTCAATTCAAAAACTACGACAGAAGCCACCGCGTAAAAAAGACTTGTTCCTTTCTCCTTTCCTTTCCCCAAGTTTCTTGCGTGTTCTCGGACAAAGATCTCCCACGACTATACGTAAGAAACATTAAGTGAACGATGTTGATTATCATTAAATCGTTTATATACATATAAATGATTTTAAAAGAATCATAAATCGAAGATTATCATTAAATCATCGATGCTTTAGGGCTGTAACTCTTATCCGTTTCTCTTTCTCTGGCTCTTTTTTTTGTCTTCTTTTTTTGTTTCTTTTTTTGTTTTTTTTTTTTTTTTTTGCTGGTAGTTTCGATCGTTCAGCCGTTGTAGAGAGATATGCCGGTAGAGTTATACATACGAAGGGAAAGAATGGATAGGGTGAGGAAGGGTAAGAAGAGAAAGGCGAGGCACCGAGTTGAACCGACACGGCCCTGGCTCGTAGCGTTAAAGGCCACGAAAAGGGCCGAGCGTCAGCGGAAAGGGCCGAAGCCGTGCGCCGACGATCGAGCAGGAGGTTCGGCTCGTCGGCGAGAGAGCCGCCGTGACTGCCGCTGGCTCCGGCAATGGCTATTGACCGAACTTGGCAGACCGGCCGGTCAGCTGTGCACCGTGCCACTGTCGTCGTCGTTATTAGAACAAAAGTGGATATATTCCATTAAAGAAATACACGTCCTCTTAAGAGGTATATCACCTCGTTATCTTTCTACGAAAAAGAAATCGACCAGAAGTCGTTCAAGAGGAAAAGGAGAAAGAAGAGGAGGAGGAGGAGGAGGAGGAGGAGAAGGAGGAGGAGGAGGAGGTGGAGGAGGAGGAGGAACCGTTGAGGAAGACGCTGAATGTGATCTTCCTTAAAACGAGAAGATTATCACCCTCGGATATTATATTGGTAGCTCGTACGACCGAACGACAACTTTACGAGGAAGTAAAAAGAATTCGAGTGCGAGACTTTCTTTTTCTTCTTTTCTACCTTTTTTTCTTTTTCTTTTTCCTTTTCTTTTCTTTTCTTTTCTTTTCTTTCCTTTTCTTTTCTTTTTTTTTTTTTTCTGTTCAAAAAATAAAACACAAAAGAAACGAAGAAAGAAAGACAGTCTGTGCGTCGTGATCGTGACTACGAGAATAGCCGAAGCTTCATCGAAAGAGTTTGAAGACGGCGAGAACGACGACTTCGGAGCAGCCGCTGAGGAAAAGAGATCGAGCGCAAGTATAGCATAAAAAGAGAGATAGATAGATAGAGAGAGACAGAGAGAGAGAGACGGGGAGAAAGAGAGAGAGGGAGAGATAGAGATAGATAGAGAGAGAGAGAGAGAGAGAAAGAAAGAAAGAAAGAAAGAAAGAAAGAAAGAAAGAAAGAGACAGATAGACAGAGAAAGATAGAGGCGATCGTCATTGCACATACGAGCGAGTAACGACTGTGTGCACAGCTCGTGCGTGCAGGTGTGCGGGACAAAAAGTGCATTGCCCAGTGGACTTTTCCATCCGGTGGCTCACGAACTGTATGTAGTCTTCGCGCCGGCGTTTTCGTCCACGAGACGAGAGAGCACGCGAACGACGAGAGGACGGTGACGAGAAACGACGTTCGAGGGAGGAGGAGGAGGAGGAGGAGGAAGGTGAAAAGTAGGGAGACACTCGTTCGGTAACCGCGCTCCTCTCGCGCCGGAAGGAGAATCGAGGAGTTTCTGTTGGAGGAGGAGGAGGAGGAAGAAGAGGAGGAGGAGGAGGAGGAGGAGGAGGAGGAGGAGGACGAAGAACGAAGAGTAGTAGGGGATATATCGTATCCCTCGTGTGGCCTCGTCGAAAATCGAAGAACGACGACGGTGTGGAATCGATGTGGATAGTCTCGATTATCGGCGAACGTTTTAACGAAGAAAATTAATAGAAGAGAGTGAGAAAAGAGACGGTAAAAAGTCATCTATTTCTTTTTTCTTTTTTTTTTCTTCTTTTCCTTTCTATTCTTTCTTTTTTCTTTTTTTTTCTTACCCCCTCCCCTTACCCCTTTCTTTTTTGCTACAACATCTCTACGTGAAAACTTTAAACGTACGAAAAGAAGAGCACGGAGGAGAAAAGTGAAAGAGGGAGATATGAAATCGTCCGACGTTGTGAGTTCTACATTATCGACGAGGTAGTGGAGGGAGAAGAAGGAAACGGATTCGTCGGTAAAACAGTGTCACGCGCGCTGCCACGGAGGAAGGACGGAAGACGAACGGAGGCTTTTGTGGGAGCCGGTCGTAACCGAGACCAGTCGCGAATACGCGCTTAACGTGATAACGACTAGACTCGTCTTTGCTGCGCGTGACTTTACTTTTTTTTCTTCTTTTTTGAAATCTCAATCCGATCGAATACGAATACTAATAATAATAATAATAATAATAATAATAAGAAGAAAAAGAAGAAGAAGAGGATCGTTGATCGTTCCTTCATTTTTTTTTATCACGCGAAGAAAAAAAGTGAAAAGAAAAAAAAAGGAAAAAGAAAAAAAAAGAAAGAAGAAGAAGAAGAAGAAGAAGATAATAAGAGAAAAGAAGTGGCTAAAAGAAGATTGGATCGAAGGTCTTGCTTCGGGCACTTGAGTCGACGGAAACGATATATTCTCTCGCCGGCTACACGGAAGCACGTTTCGTTTGAGGAATTCGTCCGCTAGGCCAACGTGACCAAGGGAATTTTATATACGCCGTTCGTAGTACAGGAATACACGAGTGCATAGATAAAGAAAGAAAGAAAAGAAGGAAGGAAGGAAGTAAGGAAGGAAGGAAGGAAGGAAGTAAGGAAGGAAGAGAAGAAAAGAAAGGGAAGAAAGAAAAGAAATAAAGAAAGAAATCAGAGAAGAGAAATAAAAAACGGAATCGTCCAAACTCGTCCGCGTTTTATTTAAGGAGAGAAGATTACTGGCGATAGATCGATCTCTCCTCTAGTGGCAGAGCGATCGCGTTCGCGTGGAGCAGCGTATGAGATCGAGAGGAACACGAGAAGAAGCGCCCTCGTCTCGTGGAGATTCGTGCCGATCGAAGAAGAAGAGAGAGCGAGTACAGAGAGAGAGAGAGAGAGGCAGAGAGAGAAAGAGAAAGAGAAAAGACGATAAGAGAAGGAGAGGATCCTTCGACGATTTTGAATCGCGTTCGATAAGCCACGAGGATCACTCTTTCTCTCTCTCTCTCTATCTCTCTTTCTCTCTTTCTCTCTCTCTCTCTCTCTCTCTCTCTCTCTCTCTCTCTCTCTCTCCCTTGGTTTCTTGGCGCTACGTGTGTGCTCGTGGGACTACGTTGAAAATCGCTCGGTGTCGTTGCTTGACGGAACCGGTTTCGTTCGGCTCGGCGAATCTCGGCGTTTATACAAAGGTCGTGTGTGCTCGCTCGTGAGAGAGCGGTAGGAGTGAGATTTATGGAAAACGAATTTACACGAGGTCACACCCACGGGAGCGGCTCTCTTTCGTTCTCTCTCTCTCTCTCTCTCTCGTTCACTCTTTTTCTCTCTCTTCTCTTCTGTTCTCTTCTCTCTCTCTCGATCTCTTTCTTTCCTCTTTCTACGTTGGTACGTCTATTTCCACTTCTCTTTATTAATAATAACGACGGCGCTAACGCAACGCCGACGGTAAAACGGCGGCGCCGTGCGACCGTGTGGGTGCCTTGAGAGGTAAAATCGGCTGAGGTTGAAGGAACCGAAGGAAAAAAAGACGGAAGGATAACGAGGACGGAGGTGTCCTTCGGACCACGGAAAAGAACAAAAGAGAATAGAGGAGAGAGAGAGAGAAAGAAAGGGAGAGAGAGAGAGAGAGAGAGAGAAAGAGAGAGAGAGAGAGAGAGAGAGAAATATTAAACTTTGAGAAAGGATCGACGTACTCTCTTGGTACAGCAGTGATATACCCGTCGGGAAGAATCCAAAGAAGATTTGTCTTGGATCGTTATGAGGCTGATGTGTCCCTCGCTAGAATCGAAAAAGATACGATCTCGTAAAGCAAGAATGTTCGAAAGGAGATGGACGTAGCACCGATGGATTACGTCGTAGTCTCTCGAACGGACTTACCACTTGCACTATTTTTCAAGGAGGAAAGAAAACGATAGGAGTGAGAGCGAGATGGCCGAATTCGAAGAAAGCAAAACTTTCCTGTTCGAGTGGAAAGAACGGAGAGATTGCTTGCTCACGATAGAGCTTTACGAGACCTAGTCCCTGCTGGTATACTCTTCTAATAGTTGCGAGGTGTTAAAGAAGAGGTTTGAAGAAAAAGAAGTGGAAGAGGAAAAAGATAGGGGAGAGAGAGAGAGAGAGAGAGAGAGAGAGAGAGAGAGAGAGAGAGAGAGAGAGAGGAGGGTGAGAGAGAGAAAGAGAGAGAAAGAGAAAGAGATAGAGATAGAGAGCCTTGATGATCTCGAGTAATTTTGACGATGAAGCGAGCGACGAGCGCAACCGCGGCCTGCGCCTCGCAGGTACAACAACCGGTGGCCGCTCTTCAGGGGAAGATACATGATCTTCTCCTTAACCCATTGAATGCTCGTACGGAGGAAGAAGCAACGTTATTCAAGGGTATTGGCGGTGTGAAATCGTCAGTTTTAGCGTCATCGTCGTCTACGACGGTGACGTCGAAGGATGAAGCAAAAACAAAGTCTTCGGCCATGCCACGGCTGTTGGCCGTTGATTCGGACAATTATATGCTTAGGAAAGGTGCGGGGACTATTAACGGAGTCTCCTCGTCTAACGCAACAACGATGACAGCCCCTACGACGACGACGTCGACAACGTCATCGTCCATCGAAGCCGTCGGCTGTTCTCGAGTAGCGCGAGCTTTTCTAGCAAACGCACCTACGAACGGCACTTATACCGATCTGCAGATGCACTCGATTCTTGGTTATAACAATAACGAGACGAGACAACAACAGCAACAACAACAACAACAACAACAACAACAGCAGCAACAGCAACAGCTACAGCAGCAATCATACGAGCCGAGAATCAAACCAACAGTAGCGACTTCTTCTAGCACGAATCAATTTACTGCACAGAGGTGGTTAGCGAGTCATTTACAGGCCCAACCGTGTTGCCTGTTGAACAATTCCAATAATGGCAACAACAAATCGGATTCTCCACAGCAGCAACAGTTTTTGCGTGCATTTAATGACGAGAAACGCGAGAACGAGACCGAGATCGATAACAGGTCGCGTTTACCCTGTTGTGCCCGAGTGTTTTCCTTTCATCGATATGTCTGTAGGTGTAACGATGCTGCTGTTACCTCGCAGCAACAACATCAATTGAGTAAAGAATCGTGGGAGATCGAGAGCCCTGTCGTAGATTCGAATTGGATTGAGAACGATGCGATTGTTGGATCTAATTCATCCGTCGATAAAACTATCCGCTCGTTAAAGGGCAAAAGCGCGTGTAGTACCCTCGAAGCGCGGACGTTCGCTGCCTCGAGGGTGCCTGCTGGTGGAAGATTGTCCGCGTGTTGCTGCATGTGTGCTTCGCTCTGTCCCGCAGACTGCCGCGCGTGCTTCCACATCGTCTGCTCGGTCTACAGCGGACAGCACCTGTGCCAATGGAGTAACAAGGGTCACGCGCTACCCGGCCAGATTTTTTATGAGGACAAGGTCAGTATATCAGTATTTTATCTAACGTACTCTTGCCCTTTTTAACAATTTCAGTGTCAATAAACAATATATTACATCTTTCTTTGTAAGTTGCTACATTAAAATGCGATCATTAAAATTTTATATTTTTCTGATTCTTTTTTTTTTTCTTTTTTTTTTCTTTTTTTTTTTTCCTTCTTTCTTTCTTTTCTTTATGAATGTTTCATAGAAAAGTCACAGTTCATCGGAAGAATAATTTTAATGACAGGAAACATTTTTTTTTCTTTATTTTTTTCCTTTTGTTTTTTTTCTTTTCTTTTTTTTTTCTTTTTTTTTTGTTTTTTTTTTTTTTGATATTATTATTGACACTTAAGAAATAACGCTTGATATTTAAATTATTTCAATTATTTAAAAAATAATTGTATTGTTTGCTGTATCAAAATTCTGCTCAAAGGGTTAAAAATCTTATCGACGAAAAAGCCTCTCAAACTCAATGCTCAAGAAAGCGTAATAATTCGAACGCCTTATTGTTTTCGCAACAATTCGATTCGCACAGTGGATAAAAAAGAGAACTTCAAATTCATCTCCTCGCTATATCTTCTCTCTCTCTTTCTCTCTCTCTCTCTCTCTCTCTCTCTCTCTCTCTCTCGCTTTCGCTCTCGCTCTCGCTCGCTCTTATTGCTATCAACTGCCCATTGTTTCGTCTATCTTATCAGGGATAAGTACGAATCGAAGAAAATAATGTCTTAACTAAATCGTTAATGTCTTAATTAAGTCGCTCAGAATCGAACGATACTTTCGAACGATCATTTTCGCGAACATTAAATAATTCTTAAATTCTTTGAAATCATTATTCTTTCGATTACTTGCACTCATATAAATATCTGAAGATATGTAGATCAATAGATAGATTCATTGAATTTTGAGATAGGAACATCACGCGATAGATAATATATATATATATATGTTACAAGTAAAGAAATTGTTAACAACTATAATGATTATGAATTAGACATTTTTAAATCGAAAACAATTCTTTCGTCATAATAATAATTATATAAAGTAATGAAATGAATAGATAGAATATATCGAGATATTACATGAATCCTCACATATATAATAATGGATTATTGAAGTTGAAACTTGAGAAAGAGAGAGAGGAGAGAGAGAGAGAGAGTGAGTGAGAGGAAGGGAGGGAGAGAGAGAGAGAGAGAGGGAGGAAGAGAAACAAAAGAGAGAAATTATCAGTGGCAAGTGAATCGAGCGATTTGCATGATTATGGGTCTATTTTAGTTAGTGACGAAAACCCACCTCAACGTTAGGCCCCCCTCGATTCCTAAGCCGGTTTTAATACGCTCTCAGACATATAAGCGACATTTTGTTATTAGAGCGAAACCTGCTTGAGCCCGATGGCGTAACGACCTAAATCTATCTGGGTAAAAGCGAAGTGCCGAGGAAATAACGCCGACGCCTTTTTAATCGGCTGTGATCACGAGTTTTTGCGATATATACCATCTATATGTATCATACAGAATCGATTTCAAAGGATGAATAAATAATATAAATACAATGAAAATATTCATTACAGATTATGGCTGATATCATTGTTTGATGTATTGAACTATGATACATGAAATGGATTTGTAAAATGTCTCGAATTTTTTCAAAGGAGATACAATTTTGTAAAAAAAAAAAAAAAAAAAAAAAAGATAAAAAAAAGAAAAAAAAAGGCATAATTCGAAAATAAAATTAAAATATCGTACACATTTTTTTTTCTTTCTTTTTTTTTTTTTTATGAATATTCATTGTTTTCAATTAAATACTAAAGTTGAATCTATATGTTAAATTATACTCTGTTTGAACTATAATAAAATATTTATATAAATGCGAAGTCGCGGTCGATGCGTTGGAAACGCGTTAATAGTCAAACTAGTAGAAGGTAAAAGACTCTTTCGGTGGAATCGATCGTTAAAAATTTTATTGTGAAATATTCGTTTCGTTTATGTTGAAAAACGCGTCGGATGCAAAGAAATTTATGAAACGTTTCAATAAGAACCGCGATCACAGTTACGAAAAAGAGAAGATGAAAATGGACGATAAAATTTTGTGTTTTTCGAAGTGTAGTCATATCGAGAAATTTTTTCTTTTTTTCTTTTTCTTTCTTTTTTTTTTGCGTATCTGAGATACGTGTAGAAATTTTTTTGGCGTAAATTCACGTAGAAAATTCCAAGAAAATTGTCGCAAGTTTCTTTCCCGTTGCTGAGATACGAAGATATATAAGAATAAGAGGGAGGCAAAGAGAGAGAGAGAGAGAAAAGTAGAAGTAGAAGAAAAAGTAGAAGAATAAGAAGACATCGAATGTGTTATCTCGTTGGTGTCGTCACGATCATAGACTTAAGGTTACAAGAGAAGGTTACGTTTTCTTATTCTCTTTCTCTCTTTCTCCTTCTCTCTCTCTCTCTCTCTCTCTCTCTCTCTCTCTCTCTTCTCTCTCTCTCTCTCTCTCTCTCTCTCTCTCTCTCTCTCTCTCTCTCTCTCTATTTCACGCGCGAGATCGCGTGTTTTTTTTACGCATTCAATTAATCGAGTTTTCTCAATACTGTGCTCGCGCAATCGTATACACAGACATGTGCAAGCATATATCCAGGTACATGCGGATATGCATGTACTCTACGTACTCGATGTCTTTCACGTCGATGCTGCCACGGCAGCCTATACTTATCTAATCTGTCTTTGGTCGCATGGTGAACGTTCACGAACACGGTCTTCGTTTCGGCACGGATATACTTGTCGCATTATCTTTGGAATCGCGAAATAAGTTCAGGAGGTTAAAGGTGTATCTTCAAAATAATACGTAATTATGAATATGTACGAACTGTTAAATAAAGCGATTGATCGACGATGCATTTTACTTGCTTTTACGTGGAGTCGATTTCAAGACAGTTCGTTTGTTTCGTCTTCTAGTTTTCATTTTCGATAATAAAACATTTCTATTGTGAGTGGTGTTCTACTTTGATATAATTTTTTTTCTTTTTTTTTTTTTTTGTTTTGTTTTGTTTATTTCTGTCCCTTTCTCTCTTTCTCTCTATTGTTCACTGGAGCGAGACAACAAATCGGTTGTCCCTTTACGAACGATCGGATTTGGGTCGATCGCCATTGCAATTTAGTAGCTACTATATCGTTCAAGCCAAGCTCTCTCATCTTTTTTATAGCCCGTCAGTGAATGGACATCGTTAGACGTACTCGAGTGGATGTCAGCGTTAAATCTCTACAGCTATGCGGACATTTTCAAATCGAAGGATATTAAAGGTAGCGATCTTCGTCATCTGGATCGAGATAAACTCATGGTAAGTCATATTATACGGATCCTATGATAATCGATAATATATACCTATATCAATATAATGATATTAATTCGCGTGGGGTACTCATAATGTTTAATAGCTTATTCCTGTTTTACATTGGTACGCGTATTTAACGACGCGAGAATATAAAAGTATATTAATGGAAGTTAAACGAGCGACCTAGAAAAATCAAGAGCATGATGGATGGCGAAGTGAGGGAGGAGAAGGGTAGGAAAAAGATGGGGTCGTTCGACGTATTCGCAAAAATCGAAATTTCTTTGGTTGGTACGACAAAGGCGATGACCTCGAAGTGAAGAATATCTGGACGACGTTTTCCTTGGCCCGTTGGCCTTGTAATTGCCATGGAGCGTCTGCCTCGGACCATACGGAGGAGTCTTTATCGATTCTTTCTTTTCTCCATTTGCTTTTATTGCCTATCGCGCGTGCCTTATCTCTCTCTCTTTCTCTCTCTCTCTCTCTCTCTGTCTCTCTTTTCTCTTCTTTAATATTTACGTTACTCGATGGAATTCGTCCAACGGTCATTTTATTTAACTAAGGAATGAAAAGGAAAGAAAGAGGGCCAGGGGAAGGGGAAGAAAATTAATTGAAAAAAGAAAAAAGAAAAAAAAGAAAGAAAAAAAAAAGAAAAAGAAAAGAAAAGAAAGAAAAAAGAAAGAAAAAAGAAGAAACAAAGTTGGGAGTCGGCGTCCACGTGACGTGGACGTAAATTAAAATCGAATGAATATTCTTAGTTGAGCTAGACGCTAGACGAGTTAGACACGCTTTACATAGAAAGCATATACATATGTATTCATCGCATCGGACGTTCTTCGACGTTCGTGCCACGATTCAGCTATAGATTGTACATATATACATTACGTATATACATACGTTCGTTCCTATCGTCGTCGACATTATCATAATCATAATGAGTCTCTCGCTTAGGTGGCTCCGAGGCTCATGCGGCCTTTCAAACTCCTCCGTATTGTGCGTGAAAAAAGGTTTACTCTCGGCGGTCTTACTGCTTCTACTTGGCCTATCGTCTCTCGTCTAATTAAGAGGAGGCAACTACTTACGGCAATTAAAGAAAGAAAGAAAGAAAGAAAGAAAGAAAGAAAGAAAGAATAGGAATTGAGTTGAAAATGAGAAAGGGGGGATTGAATTGGCGAATAGCGGAAAACCGAATTAACTTGAGGAGACCGAGCTTAGGAGGGATTAAAGAAGGAAAGCTAGGAACATTAATTAGAATGGCAAAAGTAGACAGGATAATTGGTATACTAATTAGCGTTATATTAGAAATTTCATTCGAAACGTAAATTAGTGATAGAACGGCGATACCACCTATCGCGTTCGTCGTGCGATCAAGCGTCTTATTGTGTATAACACGCATGCGCTTTCTACTACGCGCACTGTTGTCTCTTGCTCGTAGAGCTGCCAACAGGAATCGTTACTTCGTCCAGGTAGATTAAAAGTGCGCTACGCGATCTTCATACATGATTCGAGTCGCGAATCATCTCTCTCTCTCTCTCTATCCCTATCTCTATCTTTCTCTTTCACTCTTCGATAGTTCGCCGTCGATTTTGTAAGGTGGAATTTCTTTTTCTTTTCTTTTCTTTTCTTTTCTTTTTTTTTTTTAGGGTTGAAAGATCGTCAGAGAAGAAGTTTTTCGAACGATCAACATTTCTTTTTTTTTCCTTTTTCTTTTATTTTTATTTTTATTTATTTATTTAGTTTTTATTTATTTTTTTTTTTTTTCTTTTTTTTTTCATTCATTGTTTCCTTTGACTTTTTCGTATTCTCGCATTGCAAGCAATGAAAGGATTTTGTAGGAACATGGAGAACAAGGACGAAATCGCCGGAACTTCTTTAGCAAGGCTCCGTCGCGTATAATAAGTATATTACGATGCTAATCGACTCGTAAAACTCGACGCGTGAGAATTTTTCCTTCTGTCTATGCGAGAATTCGCGCTAGTTCTTTGTGATTTTAAAGGAATTCTAAAATCGATCTACTCACTGTCGTAAAGAGTTATCGGTCGAAGATACGAGACCCTAAATCATCCGAGTGGTGTTATGTTTTTTAATACAACACTTGAAAAAACCCACCATGCGTCGTCTCAAACGAATATAAAACATTCTCGACTTTGCGTTCTCTTCTTTATTCCTGACTCTTTCTTTTGAGTCGAACTTTGTACGTAGACGTGCATACATAGTGACTATTCTTTTTTCTCTCTCTCTCTCTCTCTTTTTCTTACTTCGAGCGTAAAATAATATAACGCCGGCGTTAAATTTTATTGTTGTGCTCGCGCGTGAACGAATATGCGTAATATATCGATCCTTACTTTAGCCACGTCCAACTAATAATAGCGTTTGGCCCAGTGTTCGTTCTGTAGTGCCGAGAGAGAAAAAGATAGAAACAGAGAGGGAATCGTTCGCGGTAGCCGATTTATTTTAAAATAGCGCACGCGTACATCACGATTTATGCCGAAAATTGTAGCCATATCTTGGAAAAAAAAAAAAAAGAAAAAGAAACCAAAAATTCAAACGAAAGTATATTCCTGAGTTTAAGATTTCGTAATTGAAATAGATTCACAAATTCACGAAACACGAGAATTAAGAAAATCTTTTTAACATATTACCGCTTAATCATTAGAGTCATTTCAAATCAAATTAAAAAGCGATCATGTATTGTATGGAAAAAAAGAAAAAACTATTTATATCAAAAAAACAAAAAAACAAAAAAAAAAAGAAAAAAAGAAGAGTAAAAACGTATAAATCTTTATAAAAGATAATCTTCATATTTGTAAAATAAGAATTTTTCTAAAAAGCTCTTCAATGCTTCGCGTTTCTTTTGATTACTCTGAAAGAAAATAAGGGGCGGCAGAGGACAAGTAGTAGTAGTAGTAGTAGTAGTAGTAGTACTAGTTTGCAATGAGGGATTTCTCGGTCGTTCACGTTAATTTCGCACTGTGACTCGCTTAAAAGAATATTTTTAATTCCATTTTGAGTACTCTCGGGATGGGCGTGAGCAATTCAAAGCCGTTGATTTAATCGGACGAACGAGCGAGCGCTCTCGAGTCTCTACGAAATGCAGTAGGTATTATGCTGCATCTCCTCTCGTATACGTAGTAACTGACACCTGTTGACTTGCCGTCGTAGAAGCAACTGCGTTAATCGCTCGGGGAAGGAGATGTCAGTCGGGAGTTAGCGCAGCGTAGCACATAAATTACGCTTTTCCATTCGGCTTTTTACGAGCGCATCGCCCGCACCCGACTCTCTCAACTCGAAAACTTTGTCGCTTTAATGTCTCTCCCTCTCTCCCCCTTCTCTCTCTCTCTCTCTCTCTCTCTCTCTCTCTCTCTCTATGTCTCTCTGTCTCTCTCTCTCGCGTTCAATTCATCCTCCTCCACCTCCATCTCCTCCATCTCCGCCTTCACCACCTCTTTCTCTTTCTCCTACCTCTCTTTTACGAGACAAACGTGCGTCCTTCCAACGTAGTTTCGGCTTTCAATGAATATTCGAGTAATACGTCAAAGCGTGAAAGATTCTGTTTCTATTGTCGGACACGGACTTTTTTTCGTGATTTATAAAGGCACTATATCTGGTTTGTTTTCTCTTATTTCGCTTCGAGCACGAAAATATTGGGTACGTTATTCGATACAGTAGTACTCTTTCAATGGAATAACATGATCATGCACAGGTGGGGTTTAATATGTTATATACTATCTATCCTCCCCGTCCTCGAGGTATGTTTCCTATTTTGATCGATCAATGAAAATATTTACTATAGAAATTATTTATTGATGTTTCACGTGGAGATTATATAATTTTTAATAAACGAGAGATAAGAAAGTTTTACGAGTTACTTTCTTTCTTTCTTTCTTTCTTTCTTTCTTTTTTTCTTTCTTTTTTCTTTCTTTTTTTCCAAGCCAATTTTCAAGGCGATTATATTATATGATTATGCCTGTATATAGTTATGTAAGACGTTAGGAATGGTTCACCTTTGTAGTGAAATTAATCGTCCGGGCAGATGTTTTTGGACTCGAAATCGATCGCATATTTGCCCGACTTCTCGATCGTCCAACTTGTTTATTACAGCATATGGGTATAAAAGATGAGCTCGACCAGAAGATCCTTTTGGTGTGTATCGAGGAACTCTGCCAGACGTCGCCTCCCCTTTCGTTGCCTGGTAGCACAGAAGCGAACTCATCTTCCACGACAACGAGCACGACTACGAGCACGACTACGGCGACGACGGCAACGACGGCGACGTTGACGGCAACGGCATTGACATCAGCTACGACCGGTAGTAGCTCCGTCAATGCGAACTGCGCTATCGGTCTCGCTCATCCGGCCAACAATACGACCAACGATGGTCATAATCTTGTGTTGCATAGCTTCAGTATTTTGGAAAAGTGTGACAAGTGTCGTAAATATCTCAGGGGTCTTTTGCATCAAGGCTTTCTCTGCCAAGGTAACAAATCTTATATTTAATATCTATCTTCGAATTTATCGAATATTTTCGAACAAATGCGACGCAATTTTATTTGGATTACATGTACAATGAAAGTTTTTATTCGCCAATAATTTATTCATCAATAATTACATAGAAAAAGGAATAATTTATATTTGGATAATTAATCTTTACTCGTATCATTTGTTATCTTCATCTTTTCTTAATCATGCTTAGCAATTAGCATTTATCATTTATAATGATATTGTAAATTTTTATTAAACGTACGTTATATCAAATTTTCATGTTCTATTCAATAACTATTTTTACATTGTCCTTCACAATAAGCGTAAATTTAAAATATATATGTTTAATTCTTATTAAAAGCACACTTGACCAATACAAATCTCAAAAAGAAGAGCTCAGCTTTTTTAAAACAATATTCACGAATGCATGGCATATTGTTAGGTATATGAAGAAAAAAAAAAAAAAAGAAAAATAAATTTACAAACGCTTTGAATTATTCAATATTTTTTATTTTACTTAGCGACGATTCTTTTCTCTCTCTCTTTTTTTTTCTTTTACTTTTTTTTTTCTTTCCCTATTTTTTTTTTCTTTTTTCCTTTTTCGCTTAAGCAGGAATAAAGATCGTGCTTTTTCTTTTTCGACAGATTGCGGCCTGGTAGCCCACAGAACGTGCTCGGCGATTGGTCTACCCATAAGCTGCGTCCCCGCTGAGTCGAAAAACCGTAGCAATAGATACGCTTCCGGTGAGTTAACTCTGAAACTTTTCGCTTACGCGCCAGACACGCGATTCCGTCTATCGCCAAGCAAGCGAACGAGCAAGCTCTCGTTGCTTCTTTGCCAGTTCATTTAATCAACGGTATATATGTATACGGAAACTATTGAAAAATTCAAATATCGTTCCGCCGACTATCCAAGATATTGCATCAGAAACGTGTTCGTTAGCGCCTAAGTCGGTGCCGCGATCGAAGAGTTATGAAGTTTACGGCAAGGACACCTTTCTCAAGTACGTTACATCTCGTTATAAAAGCGAGTATAAATTAGAACCACACTGGTATTGTTAGAATTTACAATGGCTTCCGACCGGTATTGGTTTATAGTCGCTCATGGTGTGTATCGCACGGATATTGACTGTAATAACGGCCTCGCCCCTCTAGATGCGTTCTTGCGAATAGTATGAAACAAATATTAACGATTTCAGAGAGATATGTACGTATGTATGTGAAATACATGCACACACATCGGATCTCGTAATTTCACTTTGTAATTTATTCACCGAACGACATACATCCATTAATGTAGCGAGGATAGAAATCGCATAGTTATAAATTTATATATATACATATATACACATACACATTCACATACATATATATATATGTATGTGTATATATATACACACACTATATATATATATAGTGTATATATATATATATATACACATTATGTACGTACGCATGCGTGTAACGCAAGTTCAACATAATTCCGTAAAAACAAAAGTAACGAATAAACTATTCTCGTACTTGGAAAACTTTTCCGTGAAAGCTTGGCGAACACACGCAAACTCGTGAGCAAGCAAGCGATAGAACGGCCGAGTCTAGTCGTTAAACTTAACGAAGCAGGCACAATGATCTTGTTCGACGCTGTCATCCCTCGATCGCATACGTGCTTGCTCGTGATTTTTATTCTAACGAATTCGATGAAATGTAGATAAGTAGATATCCATATCTAAAGAAGTATTTCGCATGAGTGCATCTGCACATATTAAATACTTAACTCTCTCGTAATTTAACTCGTAGAAGGATGAGGGAAATTTTGAAAAATACGCGGTATAATAATAAAGACGTATGATTTTCTATTTGAAGTTAATTTTATTTATTCATTTATTTATTTATTTATTTTTTTATTTTTTTTTTTTTTTGTTTTTATCATAATCTCCTTTAACTTCAATGCACTTCATTCATTGATGATCTAGTGCTTTTATGGCATCTTGAATATCTGCTTTTTTTTTTTTTTTTAATTCTCTTCAAAGTAATTCTATTATATGACAAAAATTGTCGATCGCCAAGAAATTTTTCTTTTTTTATTTTGAAAGCAATAGAAATTCCGAGATAATCAAATCTCGAGAAGAAATTACGATAAGGAAACAAGTCAAACTTTTAAGTTAACAATTTTTGTCATAATTAGAACGCTCGTTATTTAATGGGAACGTGCATTGTTCATATCCTTAAAAATTTCTGACACTTTCAATCGGTAATCCTGTAAAACAATATTGTGCATTTTTTTTTTTTTTTTTTTTTTTTTTTTTTTCCGTCGTTGCAGTTTTTGGACGTTCATTACAAGGACGTGGGGATCGTCTTGCAAGCTGGTAGATACGAGCACGTTTAAATTTGACTTTAAATTCCTATTTTTATTTTATCGCCGTTATACGATAATAATACACTATCATCTAACGTATTTTTCATTTCATTAAAAATTTTAATAGACGTTAAGTCTTTTTTAACGAGAAATTTAATTACGACATGGTGCTCGAAGTTATCCATTTAACCGCAGGCAATGATATAGCTTCTTTTAAATTAACATTTCCAACAAGACTACACGATGGATCAACTTTGAACTTTAAAGTTATGCATATAATAGATAGTCAATATAAGATGTGTCAATGAATTTTTTTTTTATTCTGCATCTATAAATGAGATAAGGCCGATAGGAGGGATAAGGAACTTTATAAATTGCCCTCGTATTAATGAACGAATGAAAATTCAATAATGAATAATAAGTGGGAAGAATTCACACAAATAAACACTTCTCTCGAATTTATATATAAAAAAGTTATAACGATAATTATAATGATAATTTCATTGATAAATAATAGACACTTTCCTCTTATTTACAATGAATGGATTAATATACAAAAACGTATAAAAAAAAAAAAAAAAAAAAAAAAAAAAAAAAAAAAAAAAAAAAAAAAAAAAAAAAAAAAAAAAAAGAGAGAAGCCCATTGTGAGTTACTCATTTACCATGAAAAAATTTACAATTCATTGTGGCTTTTAACGTATGCCGTAGAGAAATTCAGAAAGCAAAGGAAATATATTATCGGCAACGTGTTTACCGGTCTTTTTTTATTTATTTATTTATTTATTTTTTTTTAATTTTTTTTTCTTTAATTTTTTTTTATATTTTTTCTTTTTCCTTTCTTTTTTTCTTTATTCGATTCCCACCTTTCGCTCGCTCCGTTTATTACATTTGAAGCGTAAGTATGTATATGTATATGCATATATATACTTGGATGACTTACGTTCGGTCTGTCGTTGAACGATGCCATTTGCAGGCACAGCTTCCGGATATTCGTGACTAAGCGCAATTAAAAAATGAAATTATCGCTGGCGCGCTCGTTATTTCCGAGGTAACGCAGAACGTCCATGTATATATATATATATACATACACACACGTACACATACACACACATGCATATATGCGAACATATATACATATATACAACATACATACAAGTGCGTGTGCGTGTGTGTATATGTAGATACGTGCATGCACCGAAAGCTATTAAAATTATTCAGCAGCCGCGTTGTCCGGCTCGCGATCGACGACGACAAGTAGCAGTCATTCGCACATGGCACGAGCGCGCCCGGTACGATCGCCTACCTACGACAAAATCGGCAGTAGGCTCGATAGGCATTCGTAACGAATATCGAATTTCCGTGTTGACCTCCATCGGACATGCCTTCCTTCGTTAACTTCACATCTATATGATCTTGTTCGCTTACCATGTTTCGATTCGTACTTTCTTTCTCTCTCTTTCTCTCTCTTCTCCTCCCCTACCTTCTTATTTTCCTGTCTCTCCTCCCTCTC